GAGTCCATCTAGGCAGTGGGTAAGGTGACTTTGCCAAGCTGTTGAGTCTACCATTCAAAAGTCTAGAAGACAAAATGCTACCTGCTTACTTACCAGAGTGAGCTCCAAGGCCAAATAGAGGGAGCTAAGGGAGACAAGCTTCTAATACCTCCAGTCCCTCCCATAGTGAACCACACCCCTTCCTGATGTCTCCAACCTTAAACCTTTCTGCCTGGTTTGGGACACCAAACACCTTGGGCTGCAATACCTCCATAAGAATGATCTAGTCTCTGTCTTTTGGAACAAGGCATCTGCTTTGTTGTTGGCCAAGAGGAACTTAAAATCCTCTTGCTCTTTCCTACTCCTGTACACACAGGGTGATATGTCTTTAAAGTAAGAGAGTAGAGGCTTTGGTACTAGACTCTTCCTTCACCCCTCCAACCAAACTGCTTGGCTCTCTATTCCAGGGAGTGAGGTAAGCTTCCAGGGAGTCAATTTCCTACACCAAGCCTGAGTGACTTTGGTATAAGGTCCATGTTTTATTGATCTGCCTCACAAGAAGCAAATTCCAGAGGTCAGGCCTATCTACAATGTTACCCATCTTCTTCTCTAAGTGTTCATCCACACACACCCACACACTCAAATACAAACACCAGAAGAAAGTAACTCATGATGGAAAATCAAGAGTAAAAGTTCAACCCTGGGCATAGGCTTGTGATGATAAACAAAGGTTCATGGTCTGGCAAAAAGATCATGGAATAATAACACACTTTGGGGTAAAGCACAAGGAAACAGCATTTGTGAACTGATTCTTTAGACTGCGAATCCAGGTAGAGGACCCAAACAAGTCTCCCTTTCCCCCAAATCTTTGTAGCCAGGGCCAGGGGTAATTGAAGGGTGGCTGTTAAGTACACTAAAGACATGCTAATTTTCACGTTAACAAATATTGGTTCCAGAGAAGCAAAATTAGATGGCAATATGCCACCAACATGAGTTGAAGTAGGGAAATGCTTTGCAGTTAGGGGAAGGGAAAGACAATTAGTGAACGAGCATTTGTTAAGTACCTGCTATGTGCCAGCCACAGTTCTAAGTGCTTTGTAAATATTAAAACAGAGAAGAGAGATGGAAAAAGAGGAGAATTCGAAGGAAGGAAAGAAAGGGTTCCTTAAAAAAGAAACAGCCTTACCCTTACATAGATGCTATTATAAATTCTTGTTAGTAAAGTAGCAGAAAAGTTCTGGATTTGAAGTGAAGCTGGTGCAATGGACAGAGCACTGGTTTTGAAGTTAAAGGACTGAGGTTCAAATTCTACCTCTGAAACTACCTGCGGGATGTTGGGTAAGTCACTCAACCTCCCTGGCCCTCAGTTTTCTCATCTGCAAAATGAGAGAATTAGACTTCATGACTTCAAAGTCTCTTTCAACTCTAAATCTGTGATCCTATGAATTTCCTACAAGAAGGTGACCTTTGGGAAGGGGGTCTGGGTAAGCTACATCTCATTCTAGGAAATAATAAACATGCTGAATTTCCAACTTGCAATGAGAAGAAAAAGTAAAACTACCCTCTCATCTTAGTTTCTCTGGGGTAGTGACAAAGTAAATGATATACTTTGGGAACCAGGTTATTTCTTTCAGATTCCATCAGTGTGAATTATAGCTCTAGTGCCTTCAGAGTGCCCTAGTCACTTGAAATCCCCCTACACACCAAAGATTTGGAGATGGGTGATTTTGGCGAAGGAGAGAAGTCTATTTTATTTTATAAAACTTTCATATAGAGATTGTATGAATTGTTAGGAAAGAAATGTTATGTTCATAATACAATACTTAATACAATTCTGTAGCAGAATCACCATGAATAAGCAGAAAAATACATTCTATATTTATACATGATTGATCATTTGTCAAGAAAAATATTAAAGTTTTAATATTATCAGTTTTTTTCAGAGGGCCAGCCCCACCCCAAAACTTTGTATCAAACACTTCTGATAAAAATCTAGCATCCAAAATGTATAAGCAACTAACATATTTATGAAGCAAACAATTCTCCAGTAGATAAAGTGATTCAGGACTACAGTATAAAGAAGCAATTCTTGAAAGAAAAAACCTCAATTATCAACAACTACATTAAAAAGTTCAAAATCTTTAATAATCAAAGAAGCGAACATTAAAACAGCTCTGAGATTCCATCTCATACCCAGCAATTTGACAAAAATAATAAAAAACAAGTTCAATGATGGCTTAGCAGTGGCAAAAACAGGCATGCTATGTATGCTGGTAGGATTGCAAATTACGTCTAATTTTTTGGAAACAGTATGGAATTACGTGTTATAAATATGTGCATACCCTTTAACCTATGGTTCCTACTAGTTGGATTATCTTTCAAGGAGACTACTGAAAGGTAACTGAGCCTGTAGCACCTGCAGGAGCAATTTTGAGGCTGCATCTCCCTAGGGATTGCTTCCCAAGATGATGAGTATAGGCACTGTGCTGGAAGCATTGTTATCCTAAAACTCTTGGGTGCAGGGTCCTAGCCTGTCTCCATTTGGGAGTGAGGGGAGATTTTGGTGGTCAAGGCAGTAGTGGTTTGATGTGCCTGGTTCTTGCTAACTCCTGTCTGTCCTTCAAGGTGTCCTTCAGGTGATGCTTCAGCTAGAGTGGATGACCTATCTTATGGGCGGTGGTTGGTTGGGATGGCTAGCCTCATTTCTACAGGCGTTGCAGATGATGGCTATGAGGGCTGGGTGGGAAGTAGGACCAGTGGTCTTGAGGGTGCTGCCATTCCCACGGCTCTTGTGCTTTTTATCTGCCTGTTGGTGGCAACTGATCAGCAGCTGTTCCTGATGGTGAAACATTTATCCTCTTAATGATGACTTCAGGAGCTGGAAGTAGGTTTGGCGAGGACTGCTATCTCCAAGGCTCTTGTCTAATGAAGAAAGACCATACATAAACAGTGGCTTGAAAAAGGGAGGGGAGTAGAAAGGATTCCCAACTGGGGGTGAGGTGAAAAATGGGGTCAGGAGAAAATTAAGCATTGCTGAAAGTGTTCTAAGTAGTCAGTCTCCAATCAGGAATGTGGATTCCCAGGGCAGATGTTTCTTCACCGTAGCAAGGTGGTCACCTCCTGCTGAGGAGGAAATTAATTTACTGCAAGAAAGTAATTTTGTTCAGTCGTTTTTAGTCATTTCCAACTCTTCATGACTCCATTCGGGGTTTTCTTGGCAGAGATATGGGAGTGATTTGCCATTTCCTTCTCAGTGCTTATTTTACAGATGAAGAAATTGAGGCAAACAGGGTTAACTGACTTGCCCAGAGTCACAAAGCTAGTAAGTTTCTGAGGCCAGATTTGAATTCAGGAAGACGCCTTCCTAACTCCAGGCCCAGTACTCTATCCAGTGTACCATCTAGCTGCCCTGGGCAAGAAAGCAATACATGTAATTTAACTGGGGAGAGGAGGCAGCCAAAGTTGGGGGATGAGTTAGGGGCAAAACAAATGTCTGATGATCACCAGTACCAGCCCCTCCTTTCTGCACTGGACCCATCAGCTTGTGCCAAACTCCCCAATATAGCATCTCACTTAGACAGCAACACCTCCCCAAAGATATTGCATGCTACTAAATTACCTCTCCTACTCTTAGCCCAATCAAAAGACCATTATTCATTGCAACTTATCTCAGCTAAGTTTATTTACTTCTTTCATAACGTTTTCCTTACCAGTCTGTGTGTCATTTTACTATCATCTTACTTCTCCAAATTAGGACATTGCTAAAGGCTTGCACCCAGAATTATTTTTTACCCCAAGTTCACGTGTATGTGCAATCAATATTCTCATTAGCCCCCCCCACCACCTCCAGGGACATTTGCTTCTAAAGTAAAATGTTAGGGAGAAGAGGGGCTTCCTCAAATCCCACCACGCCAGCATCAGCTAACCTAAGCTGTTTGTCTGCTCTTCAAACTCTCCACTTCCAAACACACAGATCCTCTAAAAGCTACATACTTCCCCTTGCTACACTCCATCCCCAGCTCACATCAACAGGTCACCATATTCTAGTTATCTTTTCTTCTGGGACAAAAATAAGCATAAATACTAATGTCTGTGTCATATCTAGAAATTATGCTTTTGTTTCCCCTGTCCCTGGACAAAGACATTTAGAGAGGGAAGTTATCTTGAGCAAAGCTTCAAGGCTGAGTAATGAAGACAGGTACACCACTTCTCCCAGGCCTCCCCCCCAGATCCCTGCTCAAATTTATTTTGCTTTAGTAAGAAAGGGAGGGGGTGGAGATGTCAGCCCCACCAATGTTTAGTAATTTACATAAACTTGCATAGAGACTACATCGTATCTTTTTTCTTCTGTCCTCCCACTCCTATCTTTAAAAATGGCCAATTTATTTCCATGGAGTCTAAAAAGCTGGGAAGAATGGATAGACATAACCTATGCAAATACTTGAAAGATAATGCAGTGAAAGGATCCTGGAGCTAAGAAAATAGTCAATAAATATAGTGGAAATGAGAGTTCTCAGACTGCTACTTCAGACAATAGGTCTGGATAAAAATTGGGTCTCTTACTTTATGGCGCCTCACGCTTGTAGCAACCCTGCTTGCCCTTGCAGGAAATTTTCCTCAGATGCTGCATGGCTAAACATGTGACCCATCTGAAGGCTTCTTTCTGTAGACAAACAAGGTCCAGAACAGAAAACACTCTAACGTAGAAAAAGATGAGCAGCAAAGTTGGTGGGGCTCAGAAGGGCAGGATATACACTTTCCTAGGAGAGGGTTTGGCAGTGACCTGACAATCTCGGAAATTCTGCCTAATAATCTCATTGTGAGAATTTACCTAGTCCACCAGGTGTAGGCACAGCTAATTCTGACCCAAGAACTGAGAGATGCAAGTTGTAGAAAGGGAAATGGAAAAGTCATTCAAAATGAGAAATCTGCCAACTAGAAAGATGAGAATGGAAGTCAATCCTCGGGATATGAAAACAGGGAGGTAAAGGTTTAAAAAAATAACACACACACTGAAAAACCACGCAATGTATAAAACTTTATTAAAACTTTTTACAAGCTATACAACAAAGACAAGATCAAACAAAAAAAATCATTTTTGTTATTGTAAAGGGGAAAGGGACAGACAGATGTTTTAAGTGTGTAATAGAAATGTTTTTTTCTTTTTTTAAAGGCAAGCCCCAAGGCACTGCCCAATGACTGCTACTACTACTTCCTCACCTTCCTCCCCCCCATTCCAAAGGCACATGGCAGACAAACTCTACTCTGAGAAGACCACAGCCTAGATCTAATGCCTCTCACTGGTATAGCAGGTTTGACCCAAAATGGAGTTTAAACACAGAAAACATTTCTTGAGTGACTCAAGACAGTGTCACCATCTTCAAAGTTGTCACAGGCTACTGGGAGCTTAGGAAGAAAGAGGCATTAGGTGAGAGAGGCCAAGGACCCTGGATTTAGGGAAGTTGCCTATCCAAGAGCTTGCTGAAGGGACCAAGTAGTCTTGGTATAAAGTTGCCTCGCTTATAGTTCACAGAAAGCTCCATCTTTCACCCTTAAGACATTAGACTCCAAAAGGGCAAGGACAACCACTTACCTAGGCTTTCTAACACCTTCAAGCACCTAACACAGCACTCTGCAAGTGCTTAATAAATATTTGTTGAATGACTGAACATTCGGGATACTTAGCAATGCTTATAAAACCTCAGGGAGATACTTCCCCAGTTATGAGCTGGAATCCCATTCTCAAGGTTTCATAAACTAAGAAGCAACCTGAATCCAAACCCATATTACAAGACACTATGGGGCTAAGATTCTGTAAGAGCCCAAGCTCCACTTTTGCATAGTTAGTTCACTTCTGCTCCTGCTATAGAGAAGTCCATAGAAGCAAGAAGCGAGGTGCATTTACTGCATGCAATGTCTATTTTGCAGGTTTATTACTTGATTTCAGTCCTAGCAGAACATGTAGGCACAATAAATCTGTCAAACTACCTTCCTTAGTGGTTCTGATCAGCTCAGATAAAATTCTTGGCATTTTCATAGGAAATATTATCCCACAAATCTGACCTGAGTCCAAGGGAACACTTAAATAACCTCTCATTTCTTCTCCTCCTCCCTCACTCTTCATTTCAAAGAAAAACACAGCACACAGCCTGGACACATTTTTATGCTGGCTTTGGTGTGACTATCATTTTGCTGGATGACAACTGTTCAGTTCACTTTTGAGTGTTACAAGGATATCAGAGTGTGGATGTGACTAACAGTCTATCTCTAGTTCTTTCACATATCTCAGTGTAATCCTTCATTCATATACATACATACATATTGTACACACACACACACACGGACTGGGGAAGGGGGCTTGCTAATCAGTGAAGAAAAGGCATGTGCTTAGGAACACAAAATGTAACATTGAGATCCAAGGGTCATCACTGGCATAGCACCTTTGCACTAGTAATCCACGAGCAAAAGGTCTGGATAGAGAACGATCTCATTTTTTGGTGGGATTAAAAGTAGCTGCTAGGGTTTTCTGATGAGGTATGGAAAGGCGTCCAATGATGCTTGAATTCCAGGTCCAGGCAGACATGGTTTCTTCCACGTGAGACGAGATTTCCAGTGTTGATGACAGAGTGCCCTTGGGCCAATTTATGGCCTGGTGTCTGCCACACAGAGCCTGAAGTAGTGGCAGCAGACAGGGCTCCAACAGTCAGCTCACTCTACAGTTATCTCCTTGATGAAATCAGTCCAGGAACCCAGAGCCGAGGCAGTGCTGAAATTGCAGGAGCTATAACTGCCAAAGAAAATTAAATGGGGGCTTCAAGTAGCGACTGAGGCAGGCGGCTAAGCAGCAGAGGGGAAGCCAAGCAATCTCTGCAACACAGCCCTGAAGCACCTGGGGCAGAGGAACACAATGAGTAAGGAGGAACAGGGTCAGGGCAGCCCACAAAAGACACACGTCCTTGACTTTCAAGGACTGTTTGAGGCTTCAGCTGGGCTGCAGGAACCAACTGCCATCTGCACTGACAATAACCCCTTCCTTCCAAAGAGATGATGTCAGATGTGAACCTACTGCACTCCCAGCTCGGAAGGACCCTTCCTCTGCACAGAAGCAGCTTTCTGGAGGGAGCTATCAATCACCCAGCTCTACCTCGTTTTCCCCCATCCTCTGCTCCCCCACTCAGCCAGGCAGGTGAATTCGTTTAATCAGAGTCTATATTACTGAATGCTAACCCCAAAGGGAGAACTTAGGAGCAAGAAAATATGCTGAGTCCCAACCAAACACTGTAAATAAAGACAAGTCTCTGAAAATAGATGTCTAAGATTTCCACAGGGTTAAGTGAGCAACTCATTCCTCCTTCTTCCAGATAACAATATACTCAACTCAGGGGATCCAGGACTGGACATGACTTCCATGAAATTCCTTTTGTACTCATGTCCCTTTTCCATCCTTTCGGTTTCCATGGTATGACTGCTCCCCTTTCCAAGGAATGAACTTCCAGCCTGTGATTATCCATGATGCCTGAGGGTTACTCAGAGTTTTGGGAAGCACAGTTAGCAATAACCCATTCCTCCACTGTTTATTCTTTTCTCCCTTTACTGCATCACGCCACTGGCCATTCAAAGGGTGGAGTCTCAGAACTGCCATTTTGAAAGTCAGCAGCTAAGCTTAAGGCATCTCAGAATCTCTGCCATAAAGACTGCTCTGGAAAAAGTTACTGTTGCTTTCACAAACTGCCTTTTCCATGTTTACAATGGGATCAATGAGTGTGAAGCCTCCCCTGATCATGCTGTTCTGATGGATTTCTATTCTCTGAACTAATTTACTTTTCCATGATGTCTGAATTTCATGGGGTTCTTGGTTGAAATCACAGAAAGTCAAACAAGAAAAAGGCACTTGGCAACGTGGCCACTCTTAAATGACCAACTTAGGACGGAAGGCTTTTCTAACAGCCCATTGCTGGTTGCAGATCAGCTCTCACTCCATGAATCCTTCTTATGGTGAGAAAATCTGAAATGAGGGGTTAATGTCCCTCTATCCCAGATGATAAAGAGTCACACACAACACCATGAGCAAAGATCACTGCGATGCTTATCTATCAAGGGCAACGAGAGGACATCCTGAGGTCTAATTTGCTAGTCCCCTGAATGGTGGCAGCTGAACAGCTTGAGATTTTTTTTTTTAATCATGAAGCTCTTACTGGCAGTACTATAACTACTTCCTCACCTCCATTCCCCCATTCCGAAGGCACATGGGAGAAAAATTCTACTCTGAGAAGACTATAGCCTAGATAATGCCTCTTCCACCGGCTCCCGCAGACTGCACTAGGGGAGGAGGAAGGGAGATAAACTACACAGAAAAAGAAAGAGGAAGAGGGGGTAGCACACACTGCCCAATTTCTCTGGTGACTCAAAGGCATGTGGCCCCTGAGGCGAGAAATGGGGAACTGGTGGGAAAAAGTAGCTAAATTTTCAGAACAAAATTACACACTGCCTCTGCCACCCCAGCTGGCCCAGTCAAAGCTAAATGGTTTTTCTGGGAAAAGAGACCAACAAAACTGCAGATAAAAAAACGAACTGTAACTACTTCAAGGGAAAGCCATAGACAATTCCTGGAGGGAGGAACAAATGAAGGGAATGAAAACTGATATCATTACATGGAATGTAAAGTTCTATAAAGAACCCTTAAAAAAAAATCTCTTATAACCAGAGGGAATTAATCAAAAGTTGAAGCACTGTAATTTATGAGGCTTAAAATGGCTGAGAAGTATGATAGTGTGATTCAATGATTCTTGCCACTCTGAAGCATGAACTATTTTTAATTTAAATGCAGTTCAGTCAAAATCCAAGAGAAAGAAGTGTACCTTCTCAAAACAGCCAAATAAAAATCTCATCCTGAAACCACCAATGCAGGGATAGAGGAAGTTCCCAGAGACCTGTGGATTTCCCTATAAAGAAGCAGAGATTGAGAAATTTTCCCCACCCTCTATCTGAACACATTTCTGCACTGATAATGAATGGTGGTCCTCAGTGCCAACCACACAGAAAAGCACTGCAATGGGCCAAAGTGCACAAAATCCTTGTGTGGAGAAGATACCGACCAAATGCCAGGGCTATCAAAGTACTGACATGAACACTGTGGGCAAGAAGGCCTGCAGTGGGAGAGGAGGGTGAAGGCACAGCTCACTTGCTCTAGAAGGAAGTGCCCACATTCTTTGGTTAGTTGACTCAACCTCTAGCTTCCCATAAGATCCTTACACAGATCACCAACCAGGGTTCAGAAGGGATGCCCATCAGGCCTCTAAAATGGCATCTTTGCAGCATCTCATGCCACTTCCACAGATGGCCAGGAAACACTTGTATACACACACACAGAGTGTTAAAGCTCTGGCCACCTTGAAATTAATTCAGTTTATGTGAAAATACCAAGATGCCACCTAAGACACTAAATGGTTCTGTGTGACTGAGGGACACATGAGGTCCTCTTCATCCTCTTCCTCAAATGACATGTCCTCAAAGAGTTCATCCTCTGCAAAACTGCTCCCTAGTCCATATTCTTGCTTATGGACAGAAACTTCACTTGGTGTGAGGTGAGAAGATCCTTCCACAAAGTCAGCAAACCTGAAACATAGAGAAAGCAGTCAGCCATTAGGAAACTGCCTTGTCTTCTCTGGTCACCTTGGAGCCTAAACACAAAGCAACATGACACGAGGGGATGGTGAATCTAGCCAGCATGCTTCTGCTCGATGTGCAGATAGGGAGATCAAGGCATAGGGAAAAGGAAGACGGAGAGACCAGTGGAATATTAGGCCCAGATTCCCCCCACATCTCGACCATGCCTAACAAGTCTGCCTTCCTTTCGTCATGGCAGCGCTCTATTTTTTTTAGTCACCCATAATCCTGATAAGAAGAGATTAAAGAACATTACACATTTACAGCTGTTTACCGTTTTATGGACCTATAAACTATAAACTTTATCCTGGCAGTACAGTGAGTGTTTCAGCTTTACTTACTCACTGGTACACTTACTCCTGAGTTGCGTGGAAAAAAAAACCAGCTCTGAGAGTACAGCAAGAATTAAACGATTTACTTTAACAGGCCTCTCATCTCAATGTTACAAAAAGTTGGAATCAGCAGGTATAAGCAGCATGTGGTGTTCAGTTGTGAGGAGGCTGGCTCCTGCTGAGCTCATGAAGATTGGCCCAACTTTCCCTAGACCACAGGATCAAGATGGGCGGGGAGGCTAAATAGATATGCACACCATCACCTAGATGAGAAAGATCGAGTGTTAGAAGTCAAGATCACCTCATGACCAAACTCCTCAGATAACAGCTGTGGCTTTACCTCTTGGGTGACTGGATGCGGGCAATGGCCTTCCAAGCAGAAAACTCTGGGCTGCTGCAGTAGCCTCGGAGCTCCTCCAGGGCCTTTCGGGTCTCCACTTCCCCTTGTATTCGGTATTCTTCTTCTGTCAGGAGTCGAGGGGGTATCGGCTTTTCTGCTGCCTTATACACCTTTCTGTGCTCACCAAAATAACACCGCGAATGATTAATCATATTCATCTAGATCTCCATCCTTATTTTCTATCTCCTTTCATGGTGCCATTGGCAACTTGCGTCCTGAGGGTCAGGCCTACTTTATCCCCCTTCCAAAGTCTCCCTTGGTGATCCTTGTTCACAATGACCTCCTTCCACTTTAGGACAGGAGGGCCAGCCACAGAAGTAGTGGTGCTCTCTGACCACAATGGTGGAAATGGGAGAGCAAATGGAGAGACAAAAGGGAAATGATGACACAGATCAGCAGGATGATTAATTCCGTTTCTCAGCCTGATAGGGCTTAACATGTTCATTTCTCATTCAAAAAGATAATCAATGCCAGAATGAAGGACTGCAGATAACATCGCCATATTAGAATAACTATGTGCAAGACAGTAATATGCAGCGGGTTACTTTCAGTTTTACCTACACACTGTGATAAGAATATTGCCATGCACCCTGTCAGGCAACAGGAAGTAATTGGAAAAGCAGGAGTCCACAACATGGTGTATAAGTGATGCATCTTGCACCATCTAGTGGCCACAGGAACAAATGACACCATACAAGAATAAAGTTTATTTTATAAAAACAACTAGCAGGAATTCCAAATATCAGATACATTAGACTCAGAAGCAAAAGTAAAAAATGCTAGAGGCAAAGCGTAACCCAGTGACAGTTACTTGCAAACAAGGCCCTACTGGCAATGTCTGTCGATATGCCCACTGCTGCTGCCTTAGCTGACTGCATATGTTGATGAACAAATAAGACACAGGCATTACTTTCTAGTCACCTGTAGGTGGTGTAAATCCACTGAACGGGGTATTCCAGGTTTTTAGTGCAGAATGCAACGATGATAAGGGCAAAGGCTATCTGCCGTATCTGCACACCAGAATACATGAGCAACAGGCCTGTCAGCTGCAAGGCCCAGGTCAGCAGGTTGATGCTGCGTTCATTCTCCAGGGGCCCATACTTGTAACACACAGCAAAACTCACGAAGCCAACTATGAGGACATAGCCTATAGGAAGAGCAATCGGGGGACATACTTGAATCATCTGTTCTATGCATTGTAGATAGGATAGTTCAGGAAGTGGTGGTGGAGAATATTTTACACACTGAACCAGGAAGCAACACAAAGCCAGTAACAGCTAATGAATTACCACATCCCTCTCTTTCCCAAGTCAGATGTGTCTACCTTGATGCCACACCATTCTTCATCCTCCCCCAAAGTTTCTGGTGTGTTTAAGAGTTAACAAGCTACCTGTTTTAAGAAAACCCAATATATGGACATCCAAATTACTTCCCCCAAATGATGCATTAGAGGGTGATTATCTGCCCAACCAAAGGATTCTTTTATTTAAAAATTAATTCATTGCCAGGTTCTTCAGATACTGTGCTCCTCTAGTACACTTAAAATGATCAAATTCATAAAAATTCAATTCACAATTCTAAAAATACATTATGTAAATGAAACAAACTCAAGCTCTATCCCTAGAAACATTTTAATTTAAGCATAGCACATAACTGTACAGGGAGTATAAACACATGAGGACCTACCAGCTAAGACATAAACAATAAAAATGACAGAGGGCATTTTTCCTTTGACAACACCCCTGTTTGCAGAACAAAGTAACCTTAAGTATCTTAATGTATGCACAAAATAGAATAGCAAGACTAAACACTTACTTAAGAGATACTGCCAATAAAACCTGCAGATTTCTTTTAAGTTTTTGAAAACCAGCTGTATCAGGTACAGAGAAAAGGACCAGCCTCCAACTAGGATGATGTAGACAGGACTTTTCTAGGACAGAAAGGTAGGAGTGAAAGCAAAAAGTTACCACAACAGACTTTCTACATGAAAGAGAAGCAAACTGGAACTGTGACTTTAAAATGAAATGATTAAATGCTTTTAAAGAAGTCGCACTTCAAAGGAATTAAGATAAGATGCTAAATACTTTAAGAGCGCACTACATAATTAACAGACATGGAAAATTCCACTGCCTACTAAGCTCAAGATTAAATATGAAAAAAAAAATCTGATAGCCAGTTTCTCCAATCACATATACAATATATACCTTTCTGGATAAGGCTATTACCCAAAAATCAATCAACCACCAATTCCCATTTTCTAAGACAATCCTTGAAATTTTATTAAATTTAATATGGATTTAATAAATTTTATTTAAAACTAATTTTATTTAAAACAAATTGAATGTTAAATTTAAGCTACATGTACACAGTACCCCCTACCAATCCTCAATAAATGCATATGGAAACACCTCTACCTACCTTGGGCATGAACTTGGACATCAGGAAAATTAAAATTAGCAGAGAGGCCAAAATCCCCAGGCTCATCCCAGTGGAGTAGTAGAAAATCTGACTTCTGCAAAGAGAAAATTATTTCAAGACATTATCTAGGTTTGTTTTAAGCATAAAGAATCACATTCCCTAGATCAATTAGTCTCTGTAGGTATTAAGTGTTGTTACTGGTACACAATCACCCCCTACAGAATATGAAAACATTTATGAGAAAATATCCTTATTTTTCATTACTGGACCTCGAAATGCCATCAGTTAGTCATATGATATTAAGTGCACTGGCTCTCTTAAAATTACTTTGTATCTTGCATTTACTTATCTATGTATATCTTGTATCCCCTCCAGTAAAATGTAAGTTGCTCAAGAGCAGAGCCTGTCTCATTTCTGCCTCTGAAGCCACATGTTCAGTACAGTGCCTAAGTACATAGTGGGCACTTAATCAGTGTTTCTCGAATTGAACTGAATTAGTGCAATAAGATTAATCAAAAGCTAGAAACAAGAAAACAAAACCCAGAAGAGCCAGTGGGGGTACATCTGCATCTAAAACTTGTCTTTCAAGACCAGAAATCCAGCCCAAAGCAGTGCGTACTGGATCTAATCGGGGATTTTTAGCGTTAGAAATGCAAGGCCCTTCAAAGAGACACTGCTTCTGTGCTCCTGTCCTCACCTGGATTTGGCAAAAATCTAGCTTATGAGGAGCAGTCAAGTAAACTATCCATTTTCAGAGAAGCCAAGAAGGTCACACAACAATGAATGGTCTTGCCCAGAGATAGAGTCAGGACTAGGGCACAGGTCTTCCTAATGTCTCTTTCAGAGCTTTCTGCTCAATAGCCTCCCCTGAGTTCTTAGTTGCTACAAGTGTCCAAAGAGAGACTGGCAAGGATATTATAGAAGGGATTCCAACACGGAGAAGGACGTTGGACTAGATAAATCCTCATTAAACTATCTATTAAGAAATGAAGGGGTTGTAATATGCATTGGTGGAAGTAACATATTTATGAAAACATGGATCCCTAAAGAATAAATTTTTAATATTTACCTTCATCTTTGCTCAATGTTCATTATTTAATCATCTGTAAGTCTTTATGCTTATACACAGAACTTATACATACACAGTACTATAAAGCTAAGTTCCTAGGAGTCTACCCAACATCCTGACTCAGGACATCATCATATACAAAAGATTTGTTTATTTTACACAAGATTATTTTTGAGGACTATCCTGTCTTAAAACTTAATATAATCTTCCTAGTTGTAGATGAATACCATAATGGCCAAATTTATCAAGAAGTGACATTGCTGTCGATCAAAATGAACACAAGACAAATAAAAACATCACACACTAGAAAATGAATGACTTCTCCATACCAGGCAGAGGCTAGCCAAATAAATTCTAGGATGAGGAATGAAAGCGTTTATGGCTTTTATGGAAATAGCAAAGCAATTTAATTCTGAGCCCAGAAGAACTGCATACCCTGAAGAGCAACCTACCTGCTTAATAAGTCCCCACAAAAGAAAAGCAAAAGTCCAAGGAGGAAAACTAGGAAGAGTTTGGGGTCAAATCCTGGGGGGAAAAAAATTAAACACAGACTTAAAAGAAAGACTGAATATCTAAGGGAATACACAAGACAAAGTAATTTTTAGCCATATTAGACTATAAGGAAAATACAAATCCACTCATCCAAACAGCAATGTAAAAACACTAGAAGGAGAAAGAACAAATATTTCATTTGATCCACAAAACAACCCTTTGAGGTAGGTGCTATTATCACCCCCATTTTATAGGTGAGGAAAGTGAAACCAACAGAGGAGAAGTGACTTGCTCAGGGTCACACAGTAAATGTCTAAGGCCATATCTGAACTTAGGACTTTCTGACTCCACACCCCTAGGATAGAGTGGCCTCTATCTGCTGCACCACCTAGCTGCTCCTGCCTCATGGAAGCAAGGTATGTTTCCAGAAAGAGAAAATAATTAGATCTCTGACTAGCCTGTAGTTTCTTGAAGATATATATTTTTTTAAATCTTCGTTACTCCTTACCTAAAAAACTGAGACTCCTATTAGGTGAAATTGGGTAAAATGCCATCAGCCTTTCTCTTGACTGGCCACAAGGGGTCTCCACTACTCTGGTTCTCAAGCTCTCAGTCACCCTCAGGCTGGGTTCACGTCCTGATGTCAGGAGCTCCCACTGGTCCGTCTTGGCACCTTTCCCTACCCAACAACACTTCTCACTAACAGGGCAGCTGCACTATAAAAAGCCGCAGTGAATCCCATCCCACTGTCACTGGGCTTGGGCAGAGGCCTCGGTGGCACACTAGACAGTTCAACAGCTCCAACCTTGAGCATCCCAAACCAGGCCAGACCTGACACCAACAAAAGAGCCACTATTCGTCAGGACGGCTGGCAGGGTACATCAACAGTGGTGGAGGTGACATCCCATCCCAAGTGTCCTCTGAAGTAACCACAGATTCCAGAAGCCAGAGGATCACCTTGAGGACGTCCTTTCTCTAAGAGAGCATGACCTTGCCTGCCTTCCCTCTGACCAGTCCCTGATGACTCCAACACCATGGACTGCAGCATGAAAATATTCTCTTTTCTTAGGTACAATGTTAATCTTGAATCTTACCTTTGTTTTTTGTTTAAGTATCTATTTTTTCCTCTAAATGCTTAAACATTTCAATGTAAATACTCCAGAGAGGGCAGGAATCAGGCCAACCCTCTCTGATGTGCTCTGAATAGCAAATAATGCAGCAGCAAATGGATACTAACAGGCAGGAGTATAAATCTTCAGACTTGGCCAAGGAGCAAGTCCTAGATAACTCTAAGAATCCTCTTTGATATGAGAAGGTAGCTCCCCTTTCCCAGTTTCTTTGTACAAGTGGGTATAAAACACTGCATACGATGTTAGACTTTTTGATATGTTGGTTAACTTAGCTAAACTGGTTTTTTCGATATTTTTACTTGTTGTTATAAAGGATTACTCTTTAGGAGGAGGAGGATCACAATGGGAAATATAGGTGATATAAAAACAAAAGATTTCAATAAAAAGTTACTTAAAATTTTTTAAAGAGTGCTCTCTAATAAAATTACCTAAGAGGTAATGTCCAACCCACCACGGGATTTTCACTGTCTTCAGTGAAAGACTGATTAACTTGATGAACAGCAATCAGAGCCCAGGTGGCAGTGTGCTAATGGGGATGGAGTCTTCTGATAAACTAATCAGAAGCTCTGAAGCTCAGAACTTCCAGCCCAGTAAAGCGATTTCTTCCTTGTTCCTCTAATTCCTATGACTGGACCTTTGATATCTAGTTACGTATCCATCTGGATCTTATCTTGGTACATGGTTTGTGAGGTGTTGGTCTGAACCTAGTTTCTGCCAGACCCCTGTCCAGTTTTCTCAACAGTGTTGGTCAAGTAACAAGTCCTGACTCCATTGGCCAAGGTCTTCCACTTGGCTTCTTTTGTTTCTATTATCCAGTATATACTTCATTGGTTCCCCTGACTGAGCTCTCTATTTTTCAACTAGTATCAAACCATTCTGATGATCACTACTTCGTGGGATCGTTTGAGATGGGGTGCTGCTAAGCTGACTTCCTCCCCACTTGTTTTCATGGCTGCACTCGAGATTCCCGACCTTGAAGTTCCCTAAGGTGGAAAAGAAGCCCCTAGCAGAGAGGAGGCTTACTTCGGGACAGGCTGATGCTGTACTCGGTGTCCTTCTCGAGGACCTCGACTTTGAGGCAGACCTTGGTGCTGTAGAGGTCCACATTGACATAGGTGTCATTCAGCTTTTCCTTCAGGAAGGAGGAGAACAGGTTCCAGAGACTAAAATGCTCCAGTTCTTTCAGCTTCTCCTCGTTTTCCACTTGCGTAACTCTCACCACTCTGGAGCTATTTACCCGAATCTGTAAGTCAGGCGGAAAGAGAAAGAGAAGGGAAGGAAAGATGAATTTCAACTGTCACCAAATTCATAGGTACAATGCTAAAACATCAGCACTACTGGAGCTTTTCCCACAAGACTAATCAGAAGTGTTGAAAGTTGTAGTAACAAAAAAAAAAGACCCGACAGAGAATGTTTTTTATATGTAACAACATGGAACAGAAAGGCATGTGTGAGACTAACTCTCTATTATTACAGTGTCTCCAGAACTACCATTAGTTACAGAGGGAAAAAAAAGTCTTCAAATTGAAGGGGTCATCAATACAGCTATCTATGAAAGATTTTACAAAACCTGGGGCAAGAGCATTAAGCAAATTGGCAAGTTACAGCCAGGCCCAGGAAGATTGAAAATGATTCCCACTATGGTGGTGAGATTCTCCTCACTGTCTGCCACAAATCACTGGTTCTGGGGACACACTGGTCACATATGCTCTGCAGGGGCTAAGATTTTTGCATTAAACAATAAAGAAAAACAGATTTAAAAAAACCCAACCACCAAATCACCTTAATCATCAACATGACTAATGCCCTCATAAGTTGCTACACTTAGCAGCGGTAAGAGTGCCCCTAAGTGGAAGACCAGACACCCATTTCCAAAGGGACTCGTTTTGTTCAATCACTATTAGATCCAGACACACCGGGCTGCCAGCTGACTTGATAGTGTTATGGAATAAATGACCAAACTAATTCTTCTGAGGGGACATAGTAGACTTACTATGCTTATGAAAATTATACTCATGTGAAATCAAAACATAATTAGGAACAGCAAGTCAAAGGTGGTTATGTCAGCATGGACACACAATAGTTTCCAGCTCAACAAAGGAAAGAGATCTATGAAATGGGGGGGGGGGGCGGCAGGGCGGGGGGAGAGCAGTCCTTGAGATGGAGGAAATGTGCCACAAGGACACACTAAGGAACATAGAATATTCTATGCTCCTCAAAAGTAAGGACCATCTGTCACTATTTCTTTTAGATCCCCACATAATAATTATCATTGTAACAACTCACAGCACCTGGCAGTGATGAGCCAGGTGAGGCAGTCAATAAGCACTAATTAACGGCAGGATCTAGAATAATGCTAAAAAGGCTATTAGAAATAAATTTCTCATCCTAGGGGCCTAAACAAATACAGAATCTTGACAATGTGCAAGGCAATCATGCCCTCTAATGGTCTTCAGGCATCTTACCGTCACCCGGGTCCATAATTCATGCCACCTTGGGACAAGAGTGTTCTTGTAACAGAACTGCTGATTATTAGTCTCATAATAAAATTGGGATTCTTGCAGCATCACCACTTGTACTTCAATTCCAGCTTTATGCAGAAAGGGAGGAAAAGAAAATGTTTAAGCATAGCAAAGAGATAAACACTGCATTAAAAAAGAACAAAATGGCCATTTTCTTGAAGTTTGTATTTTATCTTTGAACTAGGGATGGCAAATAGATTAAAGGACAGAAAGATCTGATAAGGTAAAAAGTCTGCAAAAATCACAATTTCTGACAAATACCATTAATGTGGACTTTTAAATATTCACTCATCCAGAGTAGGTAGAAAACAATGTGTATTTTCTCTCAACAATTTCCTGGATAGGGTAAGGAAATTTTCTTTACTTACAATGAGGCAGTAGTAATTGATTTTTAATGCAGTTCAATTTTTTAGCTTTTTGTTCCATCCCAAAGAGCTTAGGAGAAGCTAATTGTTACATCTGCTCCTATTATCTTTCATTAAACAGCTCATGTTCCTTCGGAATTGTCTTGAATCTACGTCAATCTGGTGCTCAAAGACGGCTATTCTGCTGCCCCCAGGCCTCCCTTCCCTCCTGCTCAAGCAACAGCACCTTGTCCACAAACCTGTGTAGAGATTATCAGCCTGTGAAATGGTCCTGTGAAAGGAGGCATTCAGCAAGCATCCCGCAAAAATGATTTTCTGAGGATGCAGGTGCATGGATTTTAAACACAACGAAAAAGGAATCTCAGCCAAATGCCTGAAAACCCAGAAATCACATAGGAAAAAAGCTGACCTGGGACATCAGTCCATCAGGCCAGGAATAGTTTGGGGATGAAGCTAGGATTACTCATGTGTCTAAAACCAGTCTGTGTTTCCCAGTGTCTTCCTAAGTGGAAGTACAATAAGAAATTTGTGAAGGAAAAGAGGGAAGGGAGAGTAGAGGAGAACCAGATGGTTTAGACACTTAACTTACAAGACGTTATAGGTACTGGGCAATGGGACAGAGGGTTTTGGAAAGATCACTTTTTGGCTCCTACTTTAGCTATCTCAGGTCTTGCTATGCTAAAAATTCACTATAAGTGCCAGGCTGTCAGGAGTTTTGATAACCTCCTTAAACCCAGCAACTGGACTAAATCTAGACTCAAAGGAAAATGGTTGGTAAGCTACTATTTTCCTCCAAACTCATTTCAGAAGACACAATTCTCACAAAACCTTATGTCTATTCTGTTTGCTAATGCTAAGTCCACGAAAAGTACTGAGAGCACACAAACCCACAAACATGAATCAGTTGTGAAGTGATTCTGAAAAGTGAATTCTGAAGCTACAAAGGACACCCTGATGCCATTTACAAACGTACTGAGGTCTGCAATGGTAACTTAATTGCGTAAGAGAGCTGTTAGGTAACATTAAAAAATAAAGTGTAATGTCATACACAAGACCAGGAGCTATAATATTTCACTTCAAATCATTTTCAGTTGATTCATTAAAGCCCTGAGCAGCATGCACACCTATTAACTAAAGTTCGTCCAAAATTCCTATTTATTCACCCTCTTTCTCTCCTATAGCACCAAGAAATGTCAGAAGGACACACTTTAAAAAATGATATTCTCAAGAGTGCAGTCAGATACAAATAACATATGGCAATAACATCAGGCCTTTTGAAAAGCGTCAGGTCAAGAGAAGTTCTATTTGTCTCTAAACCTAGCTCAAAAAACCTCAGACTTCATTTCCCTAAGGAAGATTTATGCCTACGACACTAATAAAAGAAATCACAGAATTAAATCATCTCTTGAAATCCAGTCTCTATTTTCCAAAGGCTCTCACAACGCCCAAACTGGTGAGGTGGGGGTGAGGGGGAGATGGTGGCACAAGGGGGTGAGGAAGACTTCCCCTCGTCACAGCCTCCTACAGAAATCAGCATTTGTCTGCTTCGGCAGGTCGGGCAAAGAATGCCAAGGCCACTGGAAGGAGTCAATATTTGGAAACTTACCACACAGACTACGGCCTGAAACTGCTGCAGCCCAGGTTAGTGCACAGTTCACTCTGTGACGTTTACAGAGAAAAGCTGGCAAGATGCCCAGCACTGGCACTGTGTGCGCCCCATTTTAAAATGCAAAATGACAAACAAATGCTTTTCCCCTTCTCCCCTACCCAAGTCACTATTTTGCCTTCTCCAAACAGCCTGGTCTATGTGTTAGAAAGCTACCTGGATGTTCAGGCCCAGCTTCTCTCTCACCACAGATAGGAATCCAGCTCCTTGGCAACATCTCTCTCTTGGAAGTCAATGACTCTTTATACTAAACTTATGTGCAAAGTTTATTAAAATATAAGTGACCTCAAAAGGTCTGATATTATGATATTCATTTTCCCCCTGAGATTTTCCCCCTTCCCCATCTTATAACTTATAAGTCACCAGCTCAGATAATGGTCACTCTCCTTTTGGCCAACAAGTACTAAGGCTTTACAACGCACAAGATACCAGTCGGTATGAGTTTGTATCTTATTCCAACTGGAGGCATCATGGTCTAGGGGTAAAAGTGGTATATTTGCAAAGTAAACATTTTTAAAGGGGCAGCTAGATGGCGCAGTGGATAGAGCACCAGCCCTGGAGTCAGGAGGACCTGAGTTTAAATCTGGCCTCAGACACATAACACTCACTAGCTGTGTGACCCTGGGCAAGTCACTTAACCCCACTGCCTAGCCAAAAACAAAATTTAAAAACCCTGCCTCTCCCTCCCACTTACTAGTTCTGTGACATCACCTAACCTCTACAAACCTGTTTCCTCATCTGTAAAATAGGAATAATAATTCCTATTTGACCTCCCTCAATAGGTGGCTTTTGAATACCAACTAGGATTATGAACATGAAAGCACCACACAAACAAAAAAGATTCTTCTCCACCAATCTTGATTTACCTGCGCTCTCTCCATGACATTACCCATCATAACCACAGCAACGTTTCTACTGCCCCCTCCCTTTCTTGCTTCTACATATCCCGTCACTTCCCCAGTCCTTCCGATCTACCCAGCACTAAGCACGTACAAAGCGCAAGCACAAAAGCGGCTGCTGACATCCTCCGCACCAGGGGCGCAGAACGTGTACACAGAGAGGTCAGCATGGGGCGCCACAGTCTGGGGAAGGTGAGAGCAGGGACGGCTGAGCCTTGGGAAACCAGGAAGAAAAGGGCTCTGAGAGGCAGAGGATGCAGCCGGGCACGGGACACTGTTCCCCCTGCACAGTCCCCATCTCTGACCTTGGGGAAGGCCCCACCCAGGGGTCCTTCATGTTTGATGTCACAAAAACATTCCAGTATACAAAGAGCAGAAAAGAGAGTTCCACATAAAACTGCGTTAAGGGGCAGCTAGGTGGCGCAGTGGATAGAGCACAGCCCCTGAAGTCAGGAGGACTTGAGTTCAAATCTAACCTCAGCCCAAGCACTTGACGCTTACTAACTATATGACCCTGGGCAAGTCACTTAACCCCAACTGCCTAAAAAATAAAAAAACAAAGCTGTGTTAAAACACACACTCAATTTAACATGATAACAAAACTGCCTTGTTTGTCTGTCCCTCCTTCTAAACTTCCTTCTTGTGTGTTGTTCGAAATGTCATATTGATAACACTCTTTTCTTCTTTTACAATCACTACCTATCAATTCTTACCCCTCCACCATAAAATGGAAGCAATGCCCCCTCTCTCCATGATAACCAAAAAGTCTGGCTGAACAAATCAGCACCTTTGCTATGTTGACAAACATCATGCCTCTTTCTGCATCTCCAGTTCATCCCTTATATCAAGGACCAATGAGCAGGATTCATCATCAGTCTTCAGAAGTCATAACTGGTCATTGCACTGATGATCTCTTAACTGTTTTCCTTTACATCACACTGGTTACAGGGTAAACTGTTCTTCTGGTTCTGCTCACTTCATTCTGCATAGTTCATAGATGTATCCCCCAGGTTTCTTATGAATCTGTCATTAGTCATTTCTTACAGTATAATAATAATATGCCATTAAACTCCTTTCTCATTTCTATAGGTTAAAAATCTTTCTAATCATTCTTGGAGGCAGGAAATGGATGCTGAGTTCAGGGAACAGCAAGGAGGGCAGTCTGATTAGAATGGAAAGAGGGTGAAGAAGGCTGTGTAAAACCAGCCTCCAATTGATAAATGGTTAAAGGCAGTTTTCAAACAAAGAAATCAAAGCTATCCATAGTCATATAAAAAAGTGCTCTAAATCAGTACCGAATAGAAAAATGCAGATCCAAACAACTCTGTGGTATGAACTCACACCCATCAGATGACTAGTTTGACAGAAAAGGAAAATGACAGATGTTGGAGGGGATGTGGGAAAATTGGGACACTAATACACTGTTGGTGAAGTTGTGAACAGATCCAACCATTCTGGAGAGCTATTTAGAATTATGCCCAAAGAGCCATAAAACTCTGCATACCCTCTCACCCAGCAATACCACTACTTGGTCTGTATCCCAAAAAGATTTAAAAAAAAAAAAGGCAAAGGACCCATATGTACAAAAATGTTTATAGCAGCTCCTTTTTGTGGTAGCAGAGAATTGGAAATTTGAAGGGATGTTCATCAACTGGAGAATGGCTGAACAAGTTGTGGTATATGATTGTGATGGCATACTATTATGCTATAAGAAATGATGACAGGGATGCTTTTAGAAGAACCTGGGGAGACTACGTGAACTGATGCAAAGAGAAGTGAGCATAACCAAAACACTGTACACAGTAACAGCAATATTGTACAGTGATCAACTGTGAATGACTTAGCTATTCTCAGCAATACAATGATCCAAGAGAATTCCAAAGGACTTATGAAAAATGTTATCTACCTCCAGAGAAAAACTGATGGAGTGTGAATACCGACTGAAGCACGCTTTTTCTTTTTTACTTTATTTTTCTTGGGGGTTTTTTTGTCTGTATTTTCTTTCACAACATGACAAATATGGAAACATGTTTTACATGACTGTACATATATAACCTATATCAAACTGCTTGCCTTCTCAAGGAGGGGGCAGGGAAGGAGAAGAGAATGTGCAACTCAAAATTAAAAAAAATGTTAAAAGTTGTTTTTATATGTAATTGGGGAAAAAAATATTAAAAAATAAAAGCAAGCCTGCAAAATGAGGCTGAAGCTAAACTAGGAAGGACTTGAAATGCCAATCTCAAGAGTTTTATTTTAGCCTAGAGAAACCGAACCACTGAAGATTCTTGAGTAAGGGAATAATATGGTTTAATTAATCCCCCCCCAAGATTCCTCCTGCTCCCCCCAACGTGTATGCGTGTGTGTGTGTGTGTGTGTACATGTAAAAAATTTAGGCCTCTATTAGTACTGCAATAATCACAATTTCAATCTCCCAGCTTCCTGAGGCACGACCCTACTCTAATCCAAATTGATGCACATATGTCACCAAATCTGCCTGCTCAAAAAACCTCCAGTGACTCCCAACTAGTTTGCGTGCCCCATCTGGCACCAAACTAACACTGCAGCCTTATGTCACACTACTCAATCTAACACAGTCCGTGCTCCAATCAAATAGGATTATTCAATATTCCTTCCTCCACATGCTCGTGCTTGTTCCCTAAAGCTTCAACCCCAATGCCACTTCCTCTGCAAAGCCTTTCCTCTCGACCTTAGCCCTCAGCTAGAAGTGACCTCTCTCATCACTTAATAGCCTTTATATTGCTCTTCTACATTTATATTCCAATTTGCATCATGTGTGTCTCATAACTCCTACCAAAAGAGCTGGGGAAGTCACAGAAGGCTGCCTGGATCAACTATAAATTCATGCTATTTAATGTGAACTCCTACCACTGACAGAGGATCCTTCTACTAATCTCTGATGGACTTCCTACTGTACTCCCCATAACGACTGTTTCAAACCTTCTCTCTTCTCTAGCTCTCCCAAGAGTCTTAGGTTTCTACATTATTGAGAGTAAGGCCATCTCCTCCACCAGCCCCAGCTTTTCCCATCAATATTTTCAGCCATACCTCTTGGCCCTGATGCCATTTCTTCCAGTTACTGTCCAATAGTCCCTCCATGTCTCTCGGAGAGCTAAACTCCTCCAGACATTTACACTCACAGCATTCCCTTCCTTGCCATCCAGTCATTCTTTAATTCAGGTTTCCAACTCTACTAAAACTGTTCTCTCTAAAAATCATTTAAGGTTCTTTACAATTTGGCTGTACCCTGCCTTTCCAGCTTAACTTTTCATTATTAACTCTTATTTTACCAAGAAAATTGAGGCCACTGGCTATGAGTTCCCCCTTCTCCCTTCTCAGAACCTCTTGCTGACATCCCCTACTCTCCCCTTCTCATTGCAGTTTGATATAGGTTATATATGTACAGTCATGTAAAATGTATTTCCATATTTGTCATGTTGTGAAAGAAAATACAGACAAAAAAAACACAACCCAAGAAAAATAAAGTAAAAAAGAAAAAGTGTGCTTCAATCGGTACTCACACTGCTCTACACGGGACCTCGATTCCATGTACTCCTATCTTCTTCAGCTGACTTCCCCTCCTCTTCCTCCTCTAATCTTAAACCTCTCACTATCTAGTTGGCTTCATCTCTACTGCCTTCAAACATGTCCAAGTCTCCCCCATCCTTAAGAAATCTTCATTGATCTTACTTAATCTTAATCCATCTTTAATCCTCTTGCTCCATTTCTCAGCTAAATTACTAGAAAAAGTTGTCTACACCAGAAGTGTCAAACACCGCCCCCTACCACTACCCCCTAGCGCGGTCTTAACCAAATTGAAATGTAATTGGGAAATATTTAAAAAATAATAAAACACAGATATTATACTTTAAAACTAATATGTGACCTGCACACATCCTTATTATATTTAGTGGTCCTGTTTCTATTTCAGTTTGACACCACTGGTTGACACTAGCTTATTTCACTTCTGTCCTCACTCCTCAACCCTTTGAATCTGGCTTCAGAACTCATTACTCAAAAAAAAAAACCCAAACCAACTCATTACTCAAATGAAATTGCTCCCTCTGATGTTACCAATGTTCCCTTAATTACTAAATCGGATGGTCTTTTCCTCAGTCCTTATCCTTCTTTACATCTCTGTTGACCACCATATTCTTCTGGATACCTTTTCCTCTCTGGGTTTTCCCCCTGAACTGCTGTCTCCTGGCTCTCTTTCCACATGCCTTTTCACACAGTCTTGGTCTCCTTTACTGCTCACTGTCCATATCATGTCCCTTATCTCCAACTTCCCCAAGGTTCTGTTCTGGGCCCTCTTCTCTCTCCTGCTGATCTCAGCAACTCACATAGGTTTAATTATCATCTCTATGCACCAAGCTACCTATAGCCCTTTGAAAAATGCTCCAAATAGCCAATAATTAGAGAAATGCAAATTACAGCAATTCTGAGGTTCACCTCACAAAAATAAGATAGGGAAAGATGATCAAAAAAGGAAAATGACAAACTGTGGAAGGGCTGTATGAAAACAGGCACATTAATGCACTGTTCATAGAGTTGTAAATTGGTACAACCATTCTGGGAAGCAATTTGGAATTAGGTCCCCAATGCCTATCTTCTGATTTACCCAAAAATACCACTACTAGGCCTCTATCCCAAAAAGATAAAAGACAGAAAAGAACCCATATTTACAAAAATATTTATAGCAGCTCTTTTTGTAGAGACAAAGAAGAAAAATCCAAGAGAGTGGCTAAATAAATTATAGTATATGAATGTAATGGAATTATATCTTAAGAAGTTATGAAAGGGACAGTTTCAGAGAAACCTAGGAAGATTTGTATGAAGTGATGCAGAGTAAAATGAATATAATCAGAACAATGAATAACAACATTGTAAAAACAAACAACTTTGAAAGATTTAAGAACTACTGTCAATGGAATGATCTACTTATGATACCAGGTGCTACCCACCTCCGCATATAAAAGTGACGAACAAGATACAGAGTATGACGTATTTTTTGGACATGGCCAGTTTGAGAATTTGTTTTGCTTAACTGTTTATAACTGCTACAAGGGTATGGTTTTCTTTTTTTCCCCCTCTGGGGGCAGGAGAAGTAGGATCAAGAGAAAATAAATGCTGGTTAGTTGAGAGAAAAAAGTTTTAAAAAATTATCTCTAGGAATGTGACTTAGATCTCTCCAAATCCCCATGCTCCCTGAACCTCCATCTCCTATCAGCAAATATCTATTGGATATTTCAAACTAGATGTTCCAGAAGCATCTTAAACTTACTATGTCCAAAACAGAATTCATTATCTTTCCCCAAAAAACTGTCACTTTCCCTAGCCTCCCTATTTCTGTGGTAGGAACCTCCATTCTTCCAATCTCTCATGCTCAGAGCCTTGTGATATCCTCAACTTTTTATTCCCCTTGCCCCATACATCCAATCAATTGCCAACTCTTGCCATTTCTATCTCTATATCTCTCACATCAACCCCTTTTCTCTACCCACACAGCCACCACCTCAGCTCAGGTCCTCATTACCTCTCATCATTACTGCACGACCTCCCAGATGGTCTCCCTGCCTCAGGTCTCTCCTCACTCAAATCAATTCTCCATTCAACTCCAAAAATGATTTTAGAAGCTCCTTTTAAAACTTTTCACAACTTGGCATCAACCCATCTTTCCAGCCTCATATTACTCCATTTCTGCTATCTACAATCCAGGCAAACTAACCTTTTTCTCTGTTCCTCACACATATCACTTTGTCTCCAGGGCCTTTGCACTTGTGCAGGTGCCAGTCAGCCCTCCCTCCCTAGTTTGCATCTATTGTTTATTTGAATGTGTGTTGTCTCCCTTGGTTGAATGAAAACTCCTATGGAACAGGGATGGTCTCATCCTCTGCATTTGTGTCTTCAGTGCCTAGCACAGTTCCTGGTATACAGTAGGCATTTAAACAATGTTTGCTAACATACTGATTAACAGATTCAATACTTCTCCTGTGAAGGCCTTTCACAACCCAACTTCATTTCCATCTGCTAAAAATCTTCCTCATATTCCACGGCTCATCTCAAATGCCACGTCTTCCATGAAACAAACAACTCTAGTTCCTCAAAATGTTGGCCCTATCTTCAAATTTTCCCAGCAAAAACCACTTTGCACAGCTCTCTCATTTGCTGCATCACATTCTACCTTACACTATATTTTTCCATGTGCCCTAGTTAATAAATGTTTGTTGTATAAAACTGCAAACGCCTTGAAGGCAGAAATTTTGTCATCATTATTTCCATATCCTCCAGTGCCTCTTCCAGGGCAGTCTAATAATGCACACAGCAATCAACTGGCATCAGGTCTGTACAAGGTGAGATATCCAGGGGTGAGGATGATAAGGAATGACGGACAGCCACAAAGAAGAGGACGCCTGGTGGGAGATAGCACAGTTGCTTTATCACTCCCTGCTCCTGAGGTTCTACTCACTCCAATAAGTATAATTTAATTTACAAACTTAATTTATAAATTATAAGTTATAAGGTAAAGCAGAATGCAAAAAGAGCCTTCAAGTGCCACCCAATTCTGCCTACTTTTCAAAGGGATGGGGTTATCAGTATCAGCCCAAAGCCTAATATCCACGAAGCACTGTTCCATTGGACAAGGATGAATTTCAGGTCAAGGTTTGGTGGCACATGGGGGCACCCGCCCTAGGCTCGGGCAGCTCGGGGCAACCTTCCTTTCTCCTGCTTCCCAGAATTAAGCGCGTTTTCTCCTCTTCCTCCTCCTCCCCCAGCCCAGATGCAGCAAGGGACCCTGCCCATGCTTGATAGGATCATAGATTCTGATCTGAGCCCGGCGCTCTGTTCGTCGTCCAGGCCTCCGCCTTGGATGGGAGAGATCTGGAGCCAGAGCCCCGGGTTCGAATCGCGGCTCCGCTACTTCCCTGCTAGGGGATCCCTGGGTCGGGTCCTTTCTTTCTTTGGGCCTGAACCTAGGCTGGGGCACCCCTCCGCTGCCCCGCCAGCCCCCGCACACCGCCCGCCAGTGCCCCGAGGGCCTCGCGGGTAACGTAACGGCCACGCCCCGGAGACAAGCCAGGCCGCCCGGTGCCCGTCCTAAAAATACTGTCCCCTTCCCCTCCGATCCCGCACCACGCCTGCCACCACCGCCTCCGCCGCGCCGGGCGGTACCTGCGCTGCAGACGAGGCAGCCGCCAAGAAGCAAGCGCAGCCAGGCCGTTCCGCCGCCCCGGGGCCCCCAGCCCCGGAACCGGGAAGCAACCGGCAGCGCCGGCGCCACTTTCATTCCTCCCGCCATGGTTGCCGCCGCACGCCGCCTCCTTCTCACGTGCCCACCCCGGCAACTGGTCCAGAACGAGCAGCTGCCTGGGCCTATCGGAGAGCAGGATCCATAAACAAGACCCGCCCCCTACCAACCCAGCCCGGATGGGCGGGGCTCCGAATTTCGGCGACCCGCAGTGACCCAGCAGTGAGTCTGCTCTCTAGGTAACTGACAAGGGGAGGGCGGGGTTCGTTTCTGACCTATTAGAAAAGAGATTAGCTACAGGAAGATGCCGCCCCCTAGCAACATGCTTCCTCTGCAATTTATTTAAACAACAATAAGGATGATTGATATAAGGGCAACCAATAAGTGACTGGGATGGGCGGGCACTTCGAGATCATACTTTGCTCCCTCCTTCGCCTCTTCCTCGTTTTCTCCTCCCCCTCCACCCTGGTTTGTTATTGTTGGGCACACTGTTCTCACACTCCTGTCATTTTCTTCCCATTTTTTAATACGTCATTCCCCTTTTCACATTCCTTCCATCTTGCATTCATGGAAGAAATTCATCACTGATATCTCTCTCTCTCTCCCTCTCCACTCCTTCTCTCCCAAACACACATACACACCCATACACATACACTCAAAGGCAGAAAAAGGTGCACTTCTGATTCCTCACTTCCACTTCCAAACACTCCCTGGATGCTGTGGTTGCTAAGCAATCTCTCCTTTGAAGACCCCTCCATCCTACTATCCCCCCCACAAACAGTCAGTCAACAAGCATTTATTATGGGCCCGCTATTGAGCAATCATTGTGCTATTCACTGGGGATACAAACACAAAAGTGAGAGAGTCTCTGCCCTCAAAGAACTTACTTACATTGCACTATCCAGACCCTTGTTGCTGCTATCCACCATCCCCCAAATTGTTCTTCATTTTTCAAGGAGTTCCTTTGCTGACACAGTCTTCCTCTCCCAAACATCCCCTGATGTGCAGTAGATGAATGGTAGACTTGGGAGTCAGGAAGGCCTGGAATCAAATTTCACCCCCTCACTTATCTGTTTTGGTTATGTCACTTAACCTGAATCTCAATTTCCCCATCTGTGAAATGGGATAATATAGCTCAGATTTGATGACCTTTATAAAGTGATTTGAGCAGAGGGTTGAATATCCCTTCAAACACCCTTGCTTCCCAATTCATCAATCTTCTCCACTTTCCCACAGGGATGGCTGTACCCTTGAGCTCACTATGACCTGTGACCGTGCTACTACATTCATAAAACTCACTGTGGAATCTACTTGGGAAATGAATAGTCTGCATCTTGCTTGGACAGCCATCTTGACCACAAGTCTTTCTCATCCTTTTCCCTAGAAAAACAAATCTCAGAGCTAAGCTGGAAGGAAGCAGTACAGTGAGTTCTCCAAAATATGTCTAAATAGGTCTACAAAATTCATCAAACTGAATCCTGATGAGGAAATCCAAGAAAAAGTCACAGGGAGCCATTTTTCCATCCCAGGGATAGGCAGACAGATAGGTGGTAAGTGGACAGTGGGGATGGAGTCAAGCCAGGAGTGAACAGGGAATGTTCCAGAGTAGGGAGAGGCTGCACAACATGGCAAGAGGAGGCCCCAGACCCAGACAGGGCACCATACCAGGACACTTCAACGGGGTCAGATGCCACTGGGAAGCTTTGCACCTACTACCCAGTTCCTGGTCACAGATTCAGGGTGGAGTAAGTGCCTCAACCCCTCCTTCCAATCCAGCACAGGGTGTGTGCAGAAAGAAGAGCAGGTTCAGAAGCAAGAAGCAGCAGGGTGGCTCACATCCCAGAAATAAATCAGGGTCTCCATTTCTAGCTTCTAGCGGCCTAAACCTTGCGTAGGAATAACCAGAGTAGGAATCCCAGACCAAAGGAATACCTGCAGTTCTTTCTCTCTGATCCAGCAGAACTTCGAAGCTGGCTAATAGTGGTGTCTGCGTCCCGCAGCAATCTACTGTTGCCAAGAACCAAATTCAAGTCAGGAACCTGCAGAGTTCAGACCAGAAGGACAGTAATGAGACTCTGAACCCAGACCATTTTGACAGCACTAAAAACTTGCAGGTTCCCAGCCTGAGTTGTCCTGGAGATCCAGAAATAACACAACAGTCAATACTTCAAGAAAGTAGCCACAGGACCAGCTGAGATCTTCCTTGAGCAGAGCCCAGCCCTAACATCAAATCTGAAGTTAGGAAGTAGGCTGAAAGAATGAGCAAACTAGAAAAAGCATCCCACCATAAAATGCTATTATGGTGACAGGGACACTCAAGATACAAACCCAGAAGAGGATGACTCCAAAAAAAACTCTATGAGCAAAGCCTCAAAGAAAAACACAGCATTGGCACAATTCAACTGGAATTCCAGGAAGAGATAAAGCAAAAGTAAAAAAGAAAGAGTTAAAAATATTTTTATCAGAGAAATGAGAGGACAAGAGGTGAAAAAATGAAAAGAAATGAGGGCTTTGGAAGAAAGAATTGGAATGGAAATTAACAGCTTAGCACAAAAGGTACAAAATCTTACTCAAGCAATAAACCTGAAAATTAGAATGGACTAAGTAGAAGGCAATGACTCCATGAAACAAGAAATATTAAAAATGAAATCAAAAGATTGAAAAAAATCGAAGAAAATGTAAAATATTTCATAGCAAAAACAAATTACCTGGGAAACAGTTTGAGGGGGGAAAAAAAGTAAGAATAATTAATCTACCTAAAGGTCATGAGCAAAAAAAAGAGCCTAGACACCATATTTCAAGAACTCTTACAAGAAAACTGCCCAGATCTCTTAGAATCCAAGGACAAAGTGGAAGTAGAAAGAATCCACTAATCACCTCCTGAAAGAAACCCTTAAATGAAAACTTCTATGAACGCCATACCTCAAATCCAGAACTTCCAAGCCAAAGAAAAAATACTGCAAGCTGACAGAGAAAGGATTCAAATACCAAATACCATAGTCAGAATCACACATGACTTGGTAGCCACCCCTATAAAGGAGCAGAAAGTTTGAAATACAATATTCCAGAGGACAAGGATATAGATATACAGCCAAGAATAACTTATCCAGCAAAACAGATTTAATTAAAGGATTTCCAAGCATTCCTAATGAAAAGACCAAAGCTGAGAAGATACTTTGAAACAAAAACATAGTAATCAAGAGATACATAAAAAGGTAAAGGCAAGTGACTAATTATAAGGGACTAAATAAGGATAAACTGCTACATTCCAATATGGAAGATGAGGTATCTGTCCCCTCCAAACGCTATCATGGGTCACAGAGGAATCTAATTAGACAAAGCCTAGGAATCATTCTGTGATATCTTGATCTTCAGAGAAGAATGGAAAGAGAGGGGAAGAGTAATACACTAGAAGGGAAACAAAAGAAAGTTTAGGGGAAATTATCTCACATAATCAGGATTGCCAAGTTGATATGTATATGAACAAGGAGGAGGGAAACAGGAGCACTTGAAACCTAAACCTCAATTGGTCAAAGGTAGGAAGACTACACACACACACACACACACACACACACGTTGGGTACAAAAATACATCTCACTCAACAATGAAATAGGAGAAAAAAGGAGAGAAGGAATTGGTAGGAGGGTAGATTAAGGGAAGGATTAGTCCTAAGCAAACTCTATGGATGTTCAAAAATATTTATTCTTTTTTTTTTGAGGTGGCAAAAAATGAGAATGTGAGGGGGTGCCCCTTGGTATATGGAAGAGAATCAACCACATGACTCTCACATCTTGAAATGCATGGTATATGATTTAAAGATGGACATAGGGGAGTGAAAAAGCTGAACTTTGCTCCCCTCTACTGTTGTGAGTTATATGGACAGTGGAAGTCCAAATGAAAAGAGGGTTCTACCGCGTGTTTTCCTTTGAGGAGAATCTAAACCACAAGGTGGCACTATGCATTTGAAATGGACTGTGTAAAACCCTGTGGAAGACATGAATTCCACTAGAATGTCAGAATGTTGTCCTCCTGGCAACCCTGAGTTCAATTTCCTGAGGAACTGAGGGAAGTTTATTGGCTCCCGTGAGTGCTTTAAGTGTTTTCTTTAAGTTTTTAATGGATGCCTGTGAGTCTTTTGTGGCTTTTGCATTTTCTGTGGGTAAATAAAGGCTGTCCTCTACCCAATATGCATTTATTACCTCAAATACTTATATCTGAGCTGAGAGTTCTGTTACTCATACTTGAGAAAACCTAGACGTGAACATCTACAAATATTTTCTAAGGGAAATCCTAGGTGGGAATGTAATGAGACAAAAAAAGACACTGATCTTTTACAGTCTGCCCAGTCCATGTGAGTCCAGAGCTTGGGAGGCCCTGGGCCACAGGTTACATTATATAACAGTTATTCTCAAAGTTTGGTACTAAAAACCTCTGGGGGTCCCTAAAACTCTTTCAGAGGGTTTAAGAAGTCAAAACTATTGTCATAACAATACTAACATGTTTTAATTTCTAATAAGGTAAATATCAATAGATACAACCTACATAAACAAAAGGCCACTGAAGGGTCTTTAATAATTTTTTTGTTTTGCTTCTTTTGGTGAGGTGATCGGAGTTAAGTGACTTGCCCAGGGTCATACACCTAGTGAGTATTAAGTGTCTGAGGCTAGATTTGAACTCAAGTCCTCCTGACTCCACGGCCAGAGCTCTATTCACTTCGCCACTTAGCTGCCCCCATCTTTGATAATTTTTAAGAGTCTAGGGGCAGCTAAGTGGTACAGTGGATAGAGCACCGGCCCTAAAGTCAGGAGGACCTGAGTTCAAATCCAGCCTCAGATCAAACACTCGACATTTAGTAGCTGTATAACCCTGGGCAAGTCACTTAACCCCAATTGCCTTTAAAAAAAAAAGTCTAAAGGGGTCTTGGAACCAAAAAGTTTGAAAACTACTAAGAATATTTCTAGGTCTCCCCAATCCTTAAGCATTTATTAAGCACCTACTATGTATCAGGCCCTGTGCTAAGCACTTTGCAATTATTATCTCATGATATCCTTATAGCAACTCTGATAAGTAGGTGCTACCTTTTTT